TTGATTTTGATATAATTATTGATAATATGAGTAGTAACAGTTCATATGAATCAACGAAGTAATAGGAAATATTAAAGCAATTTTTACTCTAGACAATGTCCGTTTATTCAGCTTTGTTTCACTAACAATAGCTATCATCTTCAAATTGAACTCTTTGTTGCATTCACTTATTGTTCAAATTATCACGTATTGAAATTTGTATCTGTATCAGGTGGAGTATCATTGAAAGCCAATGAGAATTGATAGTTTGTTTTATTCCATTATGTAACTGAGGAATACTCACTTATGACCTTACCACGAACCAAACCTAAATCCTTCAGATCTCTCTATGTATGATTAACCATTAGAATGAGTTGTGAAGGTCTAATATTATGGAAAGACGCATATTTCTTGTAATCTGACTTTTATGATACCTTAGATGATGTCAGTCTGTAAGATCCACCACATAAAGAATAAACCAGCTTCTAAAAACTTACATGATTATAGCTAAATATAAAATAGTTGTTTAATGATTAGTATGAAGTTGTTACCTAATCTTTATTCAGTTTTCAAATCACTTCTATTTATAAATGTTCAATATTCGACTTTCTCTAGTTATTGTACATTTTATTTATTGAAGAATACCAGACAAATTTTAAGATGTTAATTTCAAAAAAAAATATATTACATTGTGAGAATTAAGACTTGACATTTTAAAGATCTTTCATTTATTCTTAATTCACATTAACAATGAAATCAAATGAAATTGGCATTCTTATCTCGAATTTCTTACTTGGTCATACTAATTATCGTTGAAGATCGGAACTATTATTATTATTATTATTATTATTATTATTATTATTAGCCTTATTCAATATTATATTCTTAGTATAATATAGAATTATCAGCACAAAGTATCTCAGCAAGGATTTTTACTTATTGGTAGATCCTGACGATGTATATTGAATGGTCATCAGTCAGAAGTTAATGTTTCAGGAATCGACATCTGAATGATGTACATTCTTTTCGATGTATATTGCCACCAACTACGATATCTCAGATTATACGTTTTTGTAACTTATACAGCAAAAGGTTGTAAAATTTCCATAAAGGTATCTGAGTAGTTTACCTGATTAACAAACATAATGATGTGTTAAAACGAATAAAAACAACTTGTTGAAATATCTAGATGGCAGGAAATAGGTAGCCCAGATACTAAAGCATGTCGCCAATTAACTATTAGATGTACTGTAAAATTTAGAATTTCCCGAATGTTTTGACTCGAAAAAAGAGATAACACATTTTCAATGGTTTTAATGGCTATTAGCTTCTCATGAGAGTCCTATTAAGTCTTACTTTGGTTAGATATAACAATAAGGGGACTTTTTTATATCACCAAATAGCATTTTAAAATAACATTAAGTAAATGGATTGAAAACTGGAGTATTGAGTTTGTTGTAAAAAACGAAATTGTAATTATAAGTGACTTATCACTTAGTACTAAACAATTAATTGTAATTACAGTTCAGTCTTAAAGGAAGTCAGCCAAAACTTGAATAGCTCGGTGGTAATTTTTTAAACAGTGAAGTTAAGTACCATAAAGTTGAATTTACCATAGAGTATTATTACAGGTACATCTTGCTGAAGAGTTTCAGATAGCATGAAACTCAAATCCTTTTGATCATCTTCAACTAACAATGTAAATTGTAATAAGTTTTAGTCTGTATTTGTATATATAAGGATTTATTGATTTCCTTTGATTTAACAAATCTGATTTATGTTAACAGTAGAGACTCTATCTACTATCATAGCTTTAAGAAGTGAACAATAAATTCGTTTATTTTAACTCTACCTGACTTACATGTATATAATAGTTTTTATTTCATGATAGTGAAAGGTTTGTGATCGCTATGCTTATTGTTTAGTGTTAGCATTAGTCAATCAGTTTAATGCTTAATTTATCTCTTACTAGACATAACTATTATTCATTTGACTTTCAAGAAAAATCATTCTTAAATGAAGTTATCAAGTGTTAGTAATTATAGATCATTAGATCAATTTTTTATTGATTTTTTGAGAGGTATTAAACTATTCTGACAAAACTGTCTTCATATTCAAATACTCAACTAATTTCAATGATCATTTACTTTTAAACAATTTTGACCTCGTTTCCAAGAAGTGATATTTTTTAACTCCTATAAACAAATATACATTATATACTAATTGAAAGATATATATATATATATATATATATATATATATATATATATATATATATATATATATATATATATATAATCAAGTTGTATATTTGACCTACGTCAGTAAAAGGGATTTGTTCATTGTTGATATATGTATATATAAAGTAAATATTATTGATCGTAGTGACCTTTATGTCAATGTATAATTTGTCACTGGTTGAAAGATATTACACAATGATATTTTAAACTTTATATTCATCAAGTTAGTAAATTAACTAAGAAAAGTATTGAAGACAGGAATACGATTAAACTATCAGAAGAAAGGTGTGAAAAAACAGAGATAGTGTAATTTCCGTCATTACGTACACTCATATAAAAAAAACAAATAAGTCGTTTATTTGTTTATTGTATTTATTTGAACGCACAAATATTGGTACAAATGGGTACTGGATACATATGTCACTCCAGTCGCTTAATTTGTGTGTGAGCTGTGATACTGCTCGGGTGACCGAACCGAAGCACGTGGTTTTCTTAGAGGGTCACACCCGGAACCTTTGACCTAAAGTCCTAATCCACAATGCAGCGGAGCAACGTCAGGAGATGCCGTCTAGGTGACCATTGATTAGTTCATAAACCATTTCTTTCCTTAGGATTCTGGAGCTAATGTGCACCGTTGGTTTGGAATCAGGGTTTTCCGACTCCTCTGGGTGAACTCTACCTGTCCATCAACCGGGTTAAAGCGTCAGACATCAACTTTTAGTCCTGTCAACTCTTATGTAATGTAGTGCTGCAGTGACGATTACACTGTTCTATGAATTCTGAAAAATTGCAGCGAAGCATTATTCAGTATATTATAAAGAATGTTTTGACATTTTTTTATTTTTGTAACATCTTTACATAAATAAATTAGTTAGCCAAGTAACTATTTATGTAACTAATTATGAAATCGAATGTTAAAATAAATAGCTATTCAACGAAATTAAATAATTCCAAACGTTGGATGACACCCATAAATTTGGATAAAATATATTAGGAAAACATTTGATTGTATTACTCCACTCTCTGTTGTCCTATATTCACAATAAACCATGATAAAATAATAGCTGAGTCAAAAATTGAGTTAAATTCTACTGTACATATGGAATTGTCATCATTATCAATTAGACGGTGGGATTAATATAAGTTCGTTGCAAAGTTAAGCTTCTATTTTTAGTTAATGACTATGTATTTAAAGTTATCAACAATTATTCTACTTCATTGAAATGAATCACTAGTAGAATACACAGTTTACATTTGTGAAATACTTCAACGTTAATCACAGTTGCCATAAAATGATTGTAGATACTCTTGAGACTGAAGGTGATATATGTCCTAATTAACAACAGTTTTAAATTCAAATCATTTGAACATATTTGCTATAGTGCAATCATTCGATATAATCTATCATAGAATTAACTGAAACATCATTGAATTGAATGCCAAGACAGTGAATTCTAGTGTATGGAGATAAAACGTGGAGAACTATCACAACCATCAACACAAAGGCACAAGTATTTATAAATAGTTGTCTACACAAAATACTCAACATCCGTTAGACGGATTCTGTCAGTAACAAACTTCAATGGAAGCGAACAAACCAGCTTCCATCTGAAAAAGTAATTAGGAAAAGATATTGGAAGTGGATAGGATACACATTGAAAAACTCATCAAACTACATCACGAGGCATGCGCTAACTTGGAATCCTGAACGGAAACGAAAAAGAAGAAGGCCAAAGAATACACTACGTCAGGGAATGGAAGTAACACAATAATAATAGTCAATCAATTGGTGGTGGTGGTTGCTGTTGATGTTGTTGTAATAGAGAGTGTACAATGATATAAGGATGTGAATAGAAATTGCAAGAAAGTGAAATGAAAAAAACGTAAAGGCAAATAGAGAATTAAAATAACTTTAAGGAATGTTTTGTAAACTTTCCATACACCAATTAAATGAGATCATGTTGTGGAATATGGAACTTCAAAAAGCTATCAATCAATAGAGTGAGAATCTTTAATACGAAGGTCAAGACAGTGAATTCTACTGTATGGAGATAAAACGTGGAGAACTATCACAACCATCAACACAAAGGCACAAGTATTTATAAATAGTTGTCTACACAAAATACTCAACATCCGTTAGACGGATTCTGTCAGTAACAAACTTCAATGGAAGCGAACAAACCAGCTTCCATCTGAAAAAGTAATTAGGAAAAGATATTGGAAGTGGATAGGATACACATTGAAAAACTCATCAAACTACATCACGAGGCATGCGCTAACTTGGAATCCTGAATGGAAATGGAAAAGAAAAAAACCAAAGAACACATTATGTCGGGAAATATAAGCAAATATGAAACTAATGAATAACAACTGAAAAGAACTGGGAAGGATTACCCAGGACAAAGCTCGATGTACAGTGCCGGTGGGCAGCATACACTAATTAAGTACTATTAATACATTGTTTCCCCTACAGTTTGTAAAACTTTGAAAAAGAACTATTCAAAAATACACTTTGCAAAAAAAAATTATGATTCAATCATTTATTTTAAAAATAAAAGCAAAACAAAACAATTAACAAAATAAAAACCTATTTTTATATATTTCGATTAGATATTTTACACCATATAACAACAACAATAAAAATATTTACTATAATTTAGTGATTACTTTTTCTTTAACCAATCACAAATGAGTTAAACAAAACTCTTCATCTGATTGGTTAATATAAATCAAAAATAAAATATTTACAATCGTCAACTTAATTTTTAAATAATTGTTCAAAAAAAAACAACCAAAACAAATAAATAAATAAAATGATTTGATTCAATGTATATTTTAATTATTATTTTCTTTAAATATTTTTACAGTTTGATAAAATAACCAAAAAAAACGAGGAAAACAAAAAGAAAACGGAAAATAAGAAGAATAAAGTATGTAGAATTGTACAAAACATATTCATTAATATATTTGGACATTATAAAGTATATATATATATACATATATATAGGAAAAATATGAATAAAACATTTGCACATATCACTTTATAACGGAAAATTATATACTTTAATGAATGAATAAATAATAATTCAGAAAAGTTTGTGAAAAGAACGAAAAAAAAGAAAAGAAAAGAAAAGAAAAGAAAAAAGAAATGAATAATATTACTTCTGTGAATAATTTAACAATTATACGTTCATATTTTGAATTTCATGCACGTTTTGGATTGGAACGTTTATGGATAACAATTATTATATTAAGTTTATTAATATTATGCACAGTAATTGGGAATGTTTTTGTTGTAGCAGCTATTTTATTGGAAAAACATTTACAAGTATGTTATGATATATATATTTACAATTATAATGATTACTATTATTGTTATTATTATTATTACTGTTTGTTTTACAGTGAAAAACTAAAGAAAAGGGATCTTTTATATGTTATGACAACTAAGATGTAATTATATACCTTAGAGACTATTTAGTTTACTTGTTTAGTAAACAAAAAATAAATCTTAAAAGTATATGTAGTGAAGTATAAATGGTTATATAGTTGAAATATTTAAATCTTGTATATATATTAAATATTATGCATTATTGTAGCTACCGTATTCTTATCACTGTTATGTAAATTATTCAAGTTTCAGTATCTTTCCCTTCTTCTATTGTTCACACGATATACCTTTAATCACTATAACATTTTAATATAAAAGTTTATTTTTTTTAAAAAAGAACAGACACTTTCTATCAAAATCATAATGGTATTCTAGCTGTAAATAAATTACACAACAACCCTTTTCATTGCAAACATATATGATGTGTTTATCATTAAAGAACTGCCAGACTTTGCAGATATTTGATGATATAAACTATTCATTTAACATTAGATGTTGTTTTGTATTCATTCAGTTTCTGATATGTTAGTACAAGTTTGTATTTTATAATGTACAATAGAGTCAATGAAGGAACTAAAATATTTGATACAGTGTAAACTGTCATGTAAAGATTTAGAAAATAGCAAATAAAACGAAGAATAATATAATTCTTTCCAGTTAGTTTCTCATCATGTTTCGACACAACTTTATGTTGTTGTATTTTTTCAATGGTAATTTAGCATCAGTAAATTGGTAGTATTACGTAATAATCTAGCAATTTCACAAACATATAGAATATTATTGTTTCACTTACGAATTTGTTATAGTATTGTGTAATTCTACAATTTAATTAGGATTATTTCGGAAAATTTAGCAGTTTTACATCTTTTCTGATGACAATAATAATAATGTTAAATATCGAGTCAATAGTTTGAAGATTAAGGGTTCGTAGATGAACGTGATGAATATTATCTATGAATGAAACTAATCTCTACAAAACTTCTTTGTCTAATTAAATTGTCTTAAAGGATAATCGGTACTGTAATAATATTGTTAAACAGTGTACTTTGATGGAGTTTATCTTTTAAAATTTATGTTTTACCACTTTATTTTTAAGTTTTAATTAGCGCCGTTTATTTTTAACATTATTATGCATTTATTTTACAACATACTTACTTTACTTACGCCTGTTACGCCTCATAGAGAAGTATAGGCCGCTCATAAGCATTCGACATCCAAACTTGTTCTAGACAATCCTTTCTAGCTCTTTCCACTTGATATTTATCTTTTTTATGTTTACTTCCATTCCCTGACGTAGTGTATTCTTTGGCCTTCTTCTTTTTTGTTTCCGTTCAGGGATTCAAGTTAGCGTATGCCTCGTGATGTAGTTTGATGAGCTCTTCAATGTGTATCCTATCCATTTCCAACATCTTTTCCTAATTACTTCTTCAGATGGAAGCTGGTTTGTTCTCTTCCATTGAAGTTTGTTACTGACAGAATCCGTCTAACGGATGTTGAGTATTTTGTGTAGACAACTATTTGTAAATACTTGTGCCTTTGTGTTGATGGTTGTGATAGTTTTCCACGTTTTATCTCCATACAGTAGAATTCACTATTTTGACCTTCGTATTAAAGATTCTCACTCTGATATTGGTTGATAGCTGTTTGAAGTTCCATATTCCACAACATGATCTTATTTAATTGGTGTATAGAAAGTTTACAAAACATTCCTTAAAGTTATTTTAATTCTCTATTTGCCTTTACGTTTTTTTCATTTCACTTTCTTGCAATTTCTATTCACATCCTTATATCATTCTACACTCTCTATTACAACAACATCATTAGCAACCATTATTGTGTTACGTAATCAATTTAATATGTATATTATTCTTACCGAACTATCTATATTGATATATTTGTTAAACATTTCTAATCTACATTACAAGTTTAGTAAGTAGTAGTAGTAGTAGTATTAGTAAAGTTTATCCGATTACAATAGTGTTATCGATTTGTATTTGGCATGTAGATCGTTGTTTTTTAAAAAAGGATATTTTGCTTCATTTTATCAGTTTATTTCATCAAAATGTCTACAATAATTAAATTATTGCATTAAAAAATTGTTATGTAATTTTATATCGTAATCAAGATTAGATACTACTGAAATGAAATCATCATGTAGTCTAGTTTTTTCTTAAACAATATTTGTTATTACTTACTTAGTTACGCTTGTTAATCCCAATGGAGCATAGGCCGCCGACCAGCATTCTCCGGACCACTCTGTCCTAGGCCTGCCTTCTCAGTTCCATTCAAATTTTGTTCATTTTTCTCATGTCTGTCTCTATTTCTCGGCGAAATGTGTTCTTTGGGCTTTCCGTTTGTTTTGGCCTTGAGGATTCCATATGAGGGCTTGCCTTGTGACGCAGTTGAGTGTCATGAACATAAATTGTGTCAACATTTGTGATATCAGTAGTAGTAGTATTAGTAGTCTCATTAGTAGTTGTAATAGTGCAGAGAAACGATTAGTTTATCATTGCTTAATTATATATTCAATTGTTTATCCATCTATACATACTTGTTTTGTTAAACAAATATATTTATGTCTACCATTTCCGGTTTAAATCAAATTACATTGACAATCAATGTTAAAAAGAATAAATTTTTTAATTATAATTTTGAAAGTGAATTCATGAAACAAAATCAAAATTATTAGTTAATTTTGAGTTTATTATGAATAAGTGCCATTAAACGATTGTTTTAAGATGACATTAGGAACAAGGGTGAAGTTCCTAGGTTCGATTCCTAGAATGCTAAATGTTGAGGAGCTTTAGACTGGGACAAAACATATGTCGAATGCCTTTAGGTTTTGGATGGTGGTTTAGCTAAGACTAGTGTATGACCTAGGAATCATGAAAACTAGGAAATGTTGTTATTCAGATAAGATCGATGATGTACGATCAGATTGGTGGAAACAAGTTACAAATAAATCCAGCTTGATATTATAAGTTTACTATTAAAGGGTTTTTGAAATCTTCAGTATTAAACAAAAATAATTCGACAGGCACATTTCAAATTAATTAAGACAGTTTTAACAGCTTGATGATTTTCAACTTAAAAGGAAGGGGTTGTGTTTTCGTTACGATCAGCCATTATCCCAAGTTGATATGGACTTTAACTGATTTTAGGATCATAGTAAAGTATTAAGTTTAGAGTTTTAAAAAATTCAACTTCATTCATGTCAGATACAGTGTTTTCTCTAAAAGGTTATTTCGCTTTAGTTGGTACTCGTCCAGTGAATACCGACTAGTGTTATTCCGTGTTACAGTTAGAGATGGTTCCTTTAAGCCATTGGATAATAAATATAAGCGTAGTTTTATCACTAATAACTGATAAAACATTTCTCATTTAGCTTCTAAGCAGTAAAAAATCCACAAATCCAAATGTTAACAGTAGATAAACATATTAGTATAGAGAACTTCGTGGATAATTCTAAATCTTATAAGTTGAAGTCACTTACTTGATAGATGTTTACCAGTTAATAAAATGAGAAATGTGTTAATTTGAGTGTAATGTATATCTACGGGAACAAACTTGAAAGTAGCTAAAATCTTGTGAGCATTTGATCTACTCTTTCATTGTAGCTTGAAACGCATCAGCAATATGGATCCAGGACTTGTTGACCATTAATTTTAAGTTTAATAGTTCATACGTTTCTAACTGAAATCATTTTATTGATGATTTGATACTTAACCCTTCTTGTAACTGCATTTTAGTTTCATTTCTCTTTTATAAATTGTTAATGACTTTCTATAGAATAAAATATGTTTGGATGCATTATTAAACTACGTTTTTTAAGGCAGAATGCTTGTTAATCATGAATGTATCGGTTTTGATAAGTGACGTGTTAATGATTCTTTCTTCTTGATATTGTATGCACTAAATCGTTTGATAACTATTAATATATCCATTAGCATAGAGTTGTGGAAATTGCTGAATTTTATTGAGATCTTGAAGTAGAACAACTATGATCGGTTCATGATCTCGACAATAGTAATATATATATATATTTTTAATAGAATAGGTATATTGATGGGACGGAAGTTAATGATGCTGAAATTTCATTCATCTCTAGACATTGGCAGAAATGTATAACAAACGCATTTGTTTTAATTTGTTATTCATTCAGATGGAGTTAATGGCATATTCTACAGAGTAATATCTGGGTTGATGAATGACTAATAATCAGGGAGACTTTGACAAGATGTTTCTTTCTAATTTGATACTAGTCAGCAATGAACATCAGTAATTTTACAGTCAGTCATAAAATTCATACACTGCAGTTGCCGATAGTAGTACAATATCCTTGAATGATACAAGTTATATCTGTACAATCGTCGTGATAAAAAAACGTAATATGACTGGATTTGTAATCTAATTCATTGGTCTAAACATACGGCATTTTTCGTTTTGTAATACTTGGGTTTAAATACAAGAGGTCGTTTCAATGTTTACTTGTGAGACTTCTCAAACTGGAAACAAACAGTTATCTGATTCTTACAGGTTTTGATTGGTTCCGTAGTTAACATCAGATGTCGATGAAGAAACTTCAATATCCAACAAGTCTTACGTAGTTACCTAAATATTATATAAATTTTAAAATCTAACGCTATTTAACGATGCTTCAGATCATACTAGAAGAATCACTGGTGAGACAATAATTTATGGACAACCTTTGAGCGACGCTGAAGTGACCTTGAGAGTGGACACCTACTGATTAGGGTTGTATGGAACTACTCAACAGTGCGCAACCCGTATGCGAGATTCGAACTGAGGACCTTTGGTCTCGCATGAAAACGCTTAACCTATAGACCACTGAGAAGGTATCTAACGGTGATGTTGTCTAATTTTACTGCTGAGGAGTTCTATACCAGGATGAAACGGTTTTCCAGTTCTTTAAGGTT